TACTGCCGTGGATATTCCACATCATAGCAACCAAATCGACAGCTGGAAAAACTCTGTGCCACCAAAGCATTCTCAAGCGCCACCAGCTGGTCATTTTAAGTAGAGCGCCTGACATTTTTCAGCAGGCCAAAAACACTTTGGTGGACACACGTTATTGAATATTTATTGTTAGGCATATGGCCTATAAGTCTTTTTTGCATTTATGCAATATACTGGGGCCAAAAATTATTCAGACACTTTGACTTGATCATGTTTTGATTCTGTTCTGGCTCGGGGCCAACTACCATCGCCCTGTGGACCTCCCAGACACCACTGGACTAAGTTGGAGGGAAGGTGTCTTCCGGTGTCTGGGGAGTGTCCGGTCCCGAGCCAGAACCAGTCCGCTGCCGTCCGCGGCTCACTCAAACCCGCCGCCATCCGCGGCTCCCCCAAGTCAGCCAGCAGTTCCCGAGTCAAGTCAGCCGGCAGTTAATGTGGCAAGCCCAAAGGACGTTAATGTGGCAAGCCCGCCGGGTGATAATATGGCAAGCGTTGCATGCGTTTATGAGGCTCCTGTCGGCTCCAGCCCCAGAGCTCGCTCCAGTGTCGGCTCCAGACCCAGAGCTCGCTCCAGTGTCGACTCCAGCCCCAGAGCTCGCTCCAGTGTCGACTCCAATATGGCGTGAGGACACGCCTTCCGGAGGGGGGCGTTATGTCCTGTGTTTTGTGTGTTTTTCTCTGTGACCCAGTTTCTGTCTCCCGCGTATTCAGTTAATTTCATCCCAGGTGTTTCCCATGTGTAATTTCCAATGATCCCAGGTGTGTCTCCTTAGTCCCTTGTTATCCTGTGTTTAAAAGTCCGAGTCCTTTTAGTATTAGTGTTGTAGTGTTGTCCGGTATTATGTCAACTCCCTTGTGCTACGTGTGATTCCCCGCGATTGAAATAAACTCATTGGTTTGTACTCCTGGTTTCCTCGTTCCGTGCTCCACACAGTAGCGCCCCGTGACAATTATACACATGTACATATACCCATACATATATATATATATATACATCCACCTACATAAACTCCTACACACCTGTCAATGGAAATATTAATAAATAAATCTAATTAAATCTAATTAAATATATAAATGAAATGAGCTACAACTGACGGCTTACACAACTTATACTGTCTCACAGATTAATACTCTTTCACTCTGTAACTTAACATAGGAACAAAAACAAAAGGTAGTAGTAATTTATATTAACCTTACTGCCAGATGCCATTTGAAAAGTATCTTTATTAAGATTTTACCAGCCAATATCCAAATCTAGTTAAGACACACAGAGCGCTTATCTTTCCATGACCACTAAGCTCTTAAAAAGCTATAAATCAAGGTTGCTGATTAAGGACTTTACTGGGTTCCATATTTTTACAGATGTCTTAGGTCTATTAGATAACTTGTATCTATTTTCTTTGTCTGTTTAAGCCGAGTAAATGAACCAAATTTATTGTCAATATATAAATCTCTAATGTAAACTAAACCCTTTTGTCTCCACTGGGAGACGACTTTATCTTGTTACCCTGGGAGAAAGGCATGGTTTTACAAATTGGGCTGTCCAGATACATGAGGAAGATCCAGAAAAGACTTAATCCACTTCAATATTTTAAGGACGTTATGGAAGCTGCACTTAATATTTCTGTGGAAATTGTGATACTTTAACTACTTTTATAACTGTGATATGTTATTTTCAGAATTCTTTGATGAATAGAAAGTTCAAAAGAGTAGTATTTATTTGAAATATAAATCTTTTGAAACTTTAGAAATGCTTTCACTGTCACTTTTGATGCTTTTCGAAAATAAAAACATACACATTTTCTTAAATTTGATGATGGTCAATATCAAAAGATTGATTAGTGACCTAGTGACCTGTAGAAATAGCGTAGCAGATATAATTCAGTTTTCATTTTACATAATACCAGTTCTTTGTTTTACAATTTTAAACAGAGTGTGTGAATGATGAGGCAGCTAACAGAAATGAAGCAGCAAATAATCAGATGAACAAGAAGAAAAAGGGTAAAGACAAAGTAAGTCAGAAATCAGAAATTAACCAGGAACAAGACAGAAAAAGATGCAGGAGCATTGCAAAAGCAAGTGTGTGTGTGTGTGTGTGTGCCATCATAAGGATCCAATAAACAATAGTAAATTGGAACTTGTGGAGCCGCAGCTGAGTTCTGCCCCCTGGTTGTTTATTAAATAAAATGCTTACCAGGCCATGATAAAACCTCATAGTTTGTTAGCCATCCAGTTTATTTAGCTTTACACAGATGAATAAATACATGGAATTATTTTGCTGAAAAACATCCTGAATAAATGAAGGAAGGATGGTAAAATATAAGGAAAGAGAGAAAAATGGACTCAAGAAATAATGTAATGAAGGTTTGGAAAAATAGCATGAAGGTTTTTCTTTTGTTTAACCCACAGTGGCTTTAAACTACCAGACTGATGGCCGTATGATGCAACTGAACAGAGCCAAGTTCATGGTGAATGGAGGCAGTGGCTATGTGCTCAAACCTGGCCCAATGTGTAAAGGTACACATATGCATTAAAAATACTGTTAAATCAAAATATACGACCACTGTGTTTTTGTCACTGAAGACTTAACTGTAAAAATTACTTGACACTTAAGTGTAAAGTTATTCTTCAATTACTCTCGGGAGTGTGTTAATCTCTGAAAATCTATTCCAGGCTCCTTCAACCCACTGAATGATGATCCGCTCCATGCTAATCCGAAGAAACAATTGGTGATAAAAATCATTAGTGGACAGCAGCTGCCCAAACCTCCTGATTCAATGCTGGGAGATCGTGGTGAGGTAAGCAGATGCCACCTAAGAGTACATTTCCAATCGGATTCAGAGTTGAAATGCAGTTTATATATTTGCAGTTTATATATTATATATTTGACTTTTGTGGACTTTATTCATAGATCATTGATCCCTTCGTTGAGGTGGAGATTATTGGTCTTCCGGTGGATTGCTGTAAAGAACAAACCAGGGTTGTGGATGATAATGGTACAGCTTCACTGGTTTTGCCTATGTGTCTGGGGATTTGTTGAGCTTATTTGAACAGAAATAAAGTTTTGGGGCATTAACCTTTTTTAACTTTTGGTGTGATTGTTAATGCAGGTTTCAACCCTGTGTGGGAAGAGACTGTGTCTTTCACACTTCACATGCCCGAGGTGGCTCTAGTGCGCTTCCTGGTTTGGGATCATGACCCCATTGGACGAGACTTTGTGGGCCAGAGAACTGTAGCTTTCAGCAGTCTCATGCCAGGTAAGAGAGATTCTATTGTGTGGTTGTCTCTTCAACTATGGAAAATTTTGGACCGGTGGTTAAATAAGTAAAGTAAAGTAAAGTACATCAGAAGATATGCATGCAACCTATTTTTTTTCGGTCGTTTTACATAATAGAATTAATTACATAATATGTTCACATAGTGTTAATATTGCAGTTGAATGAAAATAACAAAAGTATTTTCTGTTCACAAGTGATATTTACCTTTCATCATCATCACAATCATATTGGATTTGGTTTGTGTAAAAATTTAATTATTGTACATTATATAAATCAATTATATACATTTTAATTATATATATATATTTTTTTTATAACCTTCATGTAACAAAAAAGTCCAAAACTGGTGTAATAAACTCAGCCCTTGGGACATAAAAGTGCCTGTAGTTTAAGAAACAACCATGTATGTTAGTAAGTGTCACATTATCAGCTAATTACATAACTGATATAAGCAGATTAAAAAGACAAAAAAAGACTACAATGTGACTGAGATAAACTGAGATAAAAATATCTCAAGATAAAAAGAAATCAGGGTCATTAATTAGCATGTCAAGTGTGAGGGATAGCACTCAGAGTGGTGTCATGTGAAGCATGTCATTAGAGTAATGGAGGCCTGAAGTGCTGCCTTTGGACATGTCTGCTGCTGAACTCTCTCGGCCCTCACGCAGACAGTCACACGGTCTCACCGATGGAAGACATGCTACTGTGCTAAAGCTACTGATGACACCATGTCTTCTTGTTTTTTTTTCAGTTGCATTCACTCTGAATGTTCTCACAAATGCAAATGCCTTTCTTCCATCCCATTTTCAATCATTCCTCTTCTTTCCCACTCCTGCAGGATTTAGACACGTTTATTTGGAAGGAATGACAGAGGCATCCATTTTTGTCCATATCACAGTGCATGACATCTATGGGAAGGTGAGCTTATAACTATACAGACAGCTGTACCTAATCAGTCTGATAAAGATCCACAGCCATTTCCACTGGGCATGTTACCAATTTAAAGGGGTCCTATTATGCTTTTTCACTTTTTGAATTTTAGTCAGTGTGTAGTGTGCATGTTTAGGCATAAAAAAGATCTTCAAACTTACAAATCTCAAAGTCCACTCCAAAGGGAGATGTTTCGTTTAAAAAAAAAAATCCCTTTTCAAGAACTACAACGAATGGCTCGTTTGGACTACAGCGTTTGTTTTCCGGGCTTTGTGATATCACAAAGCGGCTCATTGGAATATCATTACAAATAATCCATAGGTCCTCATATGGCTTGTTAACTGAGGGGTGTTACAGAGTATTTGTTAAATCTAGCTAACAAAATATATATTGTGTGTTTGATTGGTCCAGACACTACAGTACTGTAATAATGTAAATTATGTAAAAAGAAAAAAAAAATTTTTTCAAACCACCAAGCATGAGAACATGTTCTAGAACACCCCCAATACAAATTCAAGACATTGTAAAAGAGCATAATTGGGCCCCTTTAAATTCTACTCTCTATTTCTTCATGCATTTAGTAATTAGATCAGTTCCTATTCATTATTAAAGCAATATTTTCCAGGAACTGGTGTGTTTTGAATGAATTAAAAGGTGTTAAAAAACTCAGCTGGTTAGCATAACAATCTGTAATGCAAGCTGTTGTTTCCATCCATTTCTACTGGTGTGACTAAACCTGTGACTGTGACATTTTTTCTCATTTCCATCTCAATACAGAAAAACAGATCAGCAAAAAAACAAAATAACTTTATTGATATTGTCCTCCATTGACATTTTATTGAAGTTCCTCCAACCTTTTTACTTTCCAGTGGAGTCCTTTAGTCCTCAACCCAAGCTATACCATAATGCACTTGCTAGGAGCTAATAAGGTACCCTGGCTATGTAGTGTGCTGCATGGAACTGCATGAGCATCTTCTAATGTGCCAATGTGACATCCTGTTCTTGCTCAGTGAACACTAAGCTGTTGTAAATGTGCAGTTGTATGGACATGCCTTTTAAATTTCATTTTGTCTGTTAGTTTTTGTTTTTTAAGTAATTATGTTTTGGTCAGTTCTGTCCTCGGTTTTAAAGCTGGATTTGTTTCCTCTTGTAAAAAAAATATTGAATTTTGAAGGCTGGAAAGATGAAAGATGGTCGAATTAATCATTAATGGTTACAAATGAATGTGCTGCAATCTGTTGAACTTAGTCAGTAATGCAGTGGTTTGTATAGGAGCAGAAATTCTGTATCCGTCTTGTTGCTGTAGTCCATACAAAGATTGTCATTGTGAGATTGTTGAAATCGACTGTTTGAAATGTGACATTGCATGTACGTTTTTGTCTGTGAGGACTGTTTGATTTAACCCGGGACCCAGCAACACCATTTAAAAAAAAAAAAAGAAGATATGATTTTTTTTTCTGAGATCACGTATGTAAATCTGTTTCATCATATAGAAGACATCCTGGGATTTTTAGAATATCATATGCCTTCCTCTTTCTAATCTTGATTTTACAGAAATAGAAAATGCATATATTATTTTTATTTTTTAAAAATAGGATCAACTTTTTAAAATGTAAATAATCATGAAATAATAATTATAGTCATTTTAAGAAATGTATTTTGTTCTACAAGAAAAAATTGAAATCATGTGTTACATATGTCTTTTTATTTGTAGACAAGACAATACAAAAACAAAAAAACTATCATCAGTGCAAAAAAGTAAAATACAAAAAATAAGATAGATAGATAGATAGATAGATGTAGGTTGGAAACACTCATTGTCGTGTATCACATTAGGAAGTAGAAATTATGCAGCATTAATCATTCTCATAACGTAAAATTTTTTGCTTGGTCCCAGACGGTTAAATGGCTTAAATAAATATTGTATGCTGAATTCTCTCTCTATTCCTGTCTGTTTCCCAGGGTCGTCAGCTGCGAGGTTTTAGAGGCTTATTTAATAGAAGTTCCAAGTCCTCAGTGGACACACATATTGGAGTTCCACCTCGTAAACGATCCATAACTGACCACCTTCTTCGAAGGACTGCCAGTGCCCCTGCTAAGGGCAGCAAAAAGAGCAAGATGCCACTGGCTGAAGTTACAAGTGACAGAAAGCACAGCACTGGGGACTCTCAAACCATTTTTGTAGAGAGGAGAGCGGGGAACAGAAAAGCCCTCCAACACGGTCCAGCATCTATGCCCCTGGATAAGCTCCTACATAGTCACCTCAGCCTGTCCACCCCAGATCGGGAGGGCCCTGATCCTGAAGCTGACACAATCATTGGTAAGTAATTCCCTTGACATCCCCTTATGAACTGTGTCTTAAAGGGATAGCTCACCCAAAAATGAAAATGTGTTGTTTATCTGCTTACCCCCAGTGCATCCAAGATGTAGGTGACTTTGTTTCTTCAGTAGAACACAAACGAAGATTTTTAACTCAAACCGTTGCAGTCTGTCAGTCATATAATGGAAGTGAATGGGAATCACGGCTTTGAGAGTCAAAAAAACATACACAAACAAAACCAAATTAAACCCTGCGGCTCGTGACGATACATTGATGTGTATCGTAAGACACGAAACGATCGGTCTGTGCAAGAAATTGAACAGTATTTATATCATTTTTTACCTCTGATTCACCGCAATGTCCAAACTGTCCAACAGCCGGCGCATGACGTGTCTTCTTATTCTTCTTGCTTTATGGCGGATCGCAGACATATAAGTGCATTACCGCCACCTATCTCTCAAATGGACCATTGACAATCTATCTATAATCTCAATTAGGAGTGCCAATGGTCCATTTGAGAGATAATGCTGTCGAGGACGCGCTCAAGTCTGCGATCTGCCGTAAAGCAAGAAGCAGAAGAAGACGCATCACGCGCCGGCTGTTGAGAACGGGCTCAGGACAGTTCGGACATTGCAGTGAATCAGAGGTAAAAAAACTATATAAATACTGTTCAGTTTCTTGCACAGACCGATCATTTCGTGTCTTTACACATCAATGTATCGTCACGAGCCGCAGGGTTTAATTTGGTTTTGTTTGTGTATGTTTTTTTTGACTCTCAAAGCCGTGATTCCCATTCACTTCCATTATATGACTGACAGACTGCAACGGTTTGAGTTAAAAATCTTCGTTTGTGTTCTACTGAAGAAACAAAGTCACCTACATCTTGGATGCCCTGGGGGTAAGCAGATAAACATAAAATTTTCATTTTTGGGTGAACTATCCCTTTAATGAATCAGAATGAATGCTGTTACATCTCAAATCCAAATAACATTAACGCTGCTGTGTTTAACGCAGTTTCTTATCATAAACTGTTTTTTTTCCTCACAGTAGCTTCTGCTATCCTCTCAGAGAAGAAATTATATGCACATTTTCATTATTTTTCTATTATTTCACTTCTATTAATAATGACATTTTTCATTTAACATTTTCACATGCTCTATATTGTTTTGCAGTCCTTATAAAGGGATAGTTCACCAAACATTTTAATTATGTCATCATTTACTCAGCCTTGTTCCAACCCCTGTATGACTTTCACTCATGTGCGGTACATAAAAAGATTATAAGACATTTTGAAAAAGTAAAATTAATTTTGGGTGAACTATCCCTTTAAGTATCTCTACTGGTCCCTTTGAAGTATTCAGACATGCAGGCTTTTCTTTCCTTAATACCTTAACTTGCCTTTGTCTTGTTCTGTCTTTACTGTTGTGCTTCTCTATAGTAGAAAACTGACTAGGAAACCCCTAAAGGTAATCCACAAGCCATACTCGGGTTGACTCACCTAAAACATTCCAGTTTTAAGCCATTGTACCAATGTTTTTAAACAACTTTTGTTTTGTTTCATTTAAAAAAAAAAAAATACCTGGATGTTCCCCATGTCACAGCGCCATTATCAAATTTCCTTCTCACAGTTGTACTTGGTAGTACATTCCATTTGTCCTGTGTTTAGAGTGGTGTGTGTTGGATTTTGGTGTTTGAAGGTCAGTAATGGTGTTTTTTTTACTGACAATCATCTCCTGTAAAATGTCTTCCACAGATTCCTTCCTCAATGAGAAACCCAGATCTGTCTCAGTGGATCTCCTCTTTGAAACTTATGCCTTCAAAAAACCTGATGTCCATGCCCTTTCAGCTGACCACATTCAAGACTGTAACATTGAGCCCAAAGATACAAAAGAAACCCCTTACCTGGTCATTGAGCACAGTAAGGAAAATCTGAGTGATTCTCAACAAGAACACACAAGAGGTGGTCTCACCCAGACTGAAGCTGATCAATTATGTTCTTCCAAAGGGCCAGCAGACCACTTGACAGGTCCTACAGAGCAATGCAATGGTGGCAGTAGCTTACGGAGTGAAGGAAGTCATAGAGAATCATGCCAGTTGGAAGCCCCTAAAAAGAACATTCTAACACCCAAGGCAGCCACGTATTCCTCAACTTCCTCTTCTTCCTCATCTTCAGGAACCAACACCAAATCACACTCTCCTAGAATGACTCTGCCAGATGAGAAGAGTCAAGTGTCCCTCCAGGAAAGTGCTCTCTCTCGCCTTATTGACGCTGTCTCATTAGACAATGAGTATGACACCTGTGGGTCCATTTCTGTTCTGATTGGCCAATTTGAGGTCACTGATGAGCAGAGCTCCCTAATTCCATCCAACTCACAACCCATGAAATATTCTCTTCCTCCATTTGACCTTCCTTGTCTCAACAATGAGCTTTCCAGCACTCCACTAAAAGTTATCAAAAAATCTGTGTGCGCAACCTCAGAGCTAACCGAGAGACCTTCTAGTCCTAAAACGACTGAACCTGCAGTCTTTACCATCTTGGATGAGGAGGTGCTTTCTCCTGTATTTACAAACAGCCTTTGTCAAAACAACTTTCAAAATGACTTGGTTGGTTCTCCTGTGGTCAGCCAGGGATCCTCGCCCATCAAGATGCCTTTAGAATGGTCTGCACATGGAAATCTAAAGCAAAGCTATAGCAGCCAATGCCATTCCACTGGTTCCTGCAGAAATGTTGAATTCGGAGGATACAGAGAGACCTCAATCAATAGCACAGCCTCAGACCGCTTCTTGCTGTGCCAAGACTTTACAAACAGCAGTCTGATGGAGGTGGAGATCAATGTAGACGAGGATCCCTTAGACAACACGCTGACCCCTTTGAGTCCTCTTCACGATTTCAAAAGTGGTCAAAGCTTAAACCAGACCTCCCTCTATCAAGTACAAAGACTTGAACCAAACCATCTCCACAAACTCTCATACAATCCCTCTCCTGTTCACTCATACTCCACGGACACATCACCCTTTCACAGACTCTACCAATCTCCACACCAAAGTCTGAACTCTAGCACCTACCTTAATAACAAATCCCAGCCAAGGAAGTTTAAATGTTATAATGATTCTGGGAGATTTACACTTGGTGATCACAGAATAGATGCCACAGAAGGAAGGCACCAGGAGACAAGAGACCAGAACAGCTTGATCAGCAGGGCAGAGCATTTAAACAAAAGCTCTTTGTCCTCAGAATGTCTTGCAAAGACTCAAGGCTGTCATAATTTGTTAAAGAGGGACTTGTACACACCTGTATCAGACTACAACATGATTACAGTTGAATCACAAGACTCTTTTTCCCAGCCATCTCCGCACAATCAGGCCTTTCCTGTACCTCCTCCTCAGATGTACAATGGACTCTCTCCAACTTCTTCCAAGTCCAAGAGCCTGGGAGACCTGACCTCTGAGGACATTTCATGTAACTTTCAGAGCAAGTACAAGTCAATCAGCCGAAGTTTTGTCACTCCTGCAATGAAAGACCAAAGACGCATGTGTGGGATTTCTGGTCGTCCGAAGTCCACTGATCCCTTAACTGAGCAGCTTCGCAAGCTTGTAACACTGGAACATGAAGACTATACGCATCCCCTCCCCTCTTGTTCTCAACCCATCCCGAAACCTCTTTCAGTGCTTCCTCTGGTTTCTCGGAGCTCTGCTGATGATCCTGAAGACCCTCCACCATTTCTGTCAAGACGACTGTCGTCCCGCAGTCAAAGTCGTGTACGTCATATAGCCAATCGTGCACGTGAGAGACAGCAGGAGGCCTTCAAACACCACTCTGTTGAGGGTGCCATGGAAGTAGTACTCCGCAATAAACCAGTTTCCTCCCAAAATCCTCCACCGAACAGGCACTCTACAGGGTCTTATATCACTGGTTACCTGAACCATCTGGGTCCTGAGGCCCGAGGCTTGCCTGAAGGAGCCTGCACCTCACTACACTATGGATACGGAGATCGCTACTATAATGACGATTCTGTACTCCCTCCGGACTTCTCCAACTCATCAGAACCCGAGGTCTTCTTCCTACTTAGGCTTTGACCTTGCATCTCACCTGCTGTTTTTGACTGTGCATGTATTTCCTAGTAACAGTTGCAACTATTGTATATGTAGCAGGACACTTCCAGAACTGTGTACATATTCCATATAACACGGTCTCCTACTTGTGCTACTCCTGCTGTATTAAACTTATTATTTTATATACATGTGGTCCCTGTCATGCTTGAAAAAAAATATTGTTCAAAATGTGTGCTGTCTCAAGGTTTAAAAAAAAAAAGAGTAAATAATTGAATTGGATATTTCTTGCAGACATTTTCTTTTTGTTGTTGTTGTCAGCTATTTGTTCTTTTTTAAACTATGTAGTACAACAAAGTCATGAAGGGGCTTCTCTTTTTATTCAGTCTTCCTGCATATCTTGTTATTTGTATGTCTGTGTAGTTTGTACATATGTTGGTAAATTTATGCTCAGTCAAAGCACGATTGGTTTTCCTTTCAATTTTAAATACTGTGAGGTTTTTTTTAGCATGTGAACTGTGAACATTTTCAGCATGACTATGCACAGACCTGTAGATGCTGTGCTCTGATTTTGCACAGAATAATTCTGTTGTATTGAATGCAATACAGCACATTTACCTGCTTGCTCTGACTTGCTTGCTTTCTATTAGTCATGGATTTAAAGAAGTTTGAAACTCTTCTTCATATTCTAAAGCTGTATGGTTAAAGTTTTATTTTTATAATTGCTTTGATACAGAGGGCAAAAATAACATTTGTTAGACTTAATATTTAGTTTTCTTTTTAAAGAGACAAAAAAAAACAGATTTGTTTCAACTCCTTTGTGCTTAAAGGCATCTAGTCCATTGTTCATGTTATTGTTGCTCATCCAAGATGAGTGTAAGCGTTTTCCTACCAATGCAATAAAATTATGAAATGTTTGCTCTAAGGAAAAATATATTTTTGTGTGGTTTCTCTTATCTGCCTCTGTAATAACTGTATATCCAATTTTCATTTTTTTATTCTGCCTAATTTAATTCTCTATGTTTTGGCATTGCCCCACTGGCCTTGACTCCTAGAGTCAAATGCCCATTCCTTTAAAGTGCCCCTATTATGACTTTTTGAATATTACCTTTCATGCAGTGTGTCATGTAGCTGTATGTGAACATAAACTATCTGCAAAGTTGTGAAGCCAACAGTGCACGTTAAATAAAGTTATTGTCTATAAAAAACAAAAAAGAGTCGGCTCGCAATCGCCTAAATGAGTCATCAGGAATTCAAATCTTATTCTGTTACGGCTCTACGTCACGAAGTAACACATTTGCATAATGTCTGCCCACGTTCTACGTTGCCAACTTGCCCGCCCACAAACAGTAAAATTTCCGTGTGGTTAACATGTCGAGAAGACGCTGTATCCTACGCTGTGAGAGTAAATTTGTTTTATCACACCTTATAATTACCACAAACTTGTTAACACTTGTTAACACTTACCACTGAGAAACGTCCTGCTCCAGTCGTGCTCTTGTTGATCAGCCAGTTCAACCGTTTCATCATCAGACTCCGGCTCGAATTGGTAAGGTACAATCGATACCATCTTTTCTATGTATTGACAAGTCTCCAGGGCTGTCATTTCGTCATGGCAATGGGCGCTTCGTTTCCGACACACGCTGTACGCGTTAGACCAATCCAGAGCCAATCGCTCTCTGGCTCTGGACCAATCATAAAGGACTGCACCATCTGACCAATCACAGCAGTGAGGGCTCACGGAAAGGAGAGGTTTAGAGAGACTGATTCTTTGAACTGCTTCGCATGAGTCAATTACGAATCATTTAGAAATGAGGTCAAATTAAATCTATTTTTTGAGAAAACTAACGTGTTTTTTTAACCTTGCATGCATGTAAACCTGTTTTAGGAGACTCATAAAACAATATTAGCAACCTTAAAAAAGGCATAATAGGGGCACTTTAAGGCTGCAAAAAGTTGTAAACTAGGTTGCTGTATTCTGTGATAGTGTTAGTCTCTGAGTAACAGCAAACACAAAAACAGTAAAAAAAACTGGACTGTTTCATCAGGAAAACCCAGATGAGTTTGTAATTAAAAATCAGTTTGTCAGAGGCTTTCATGCAGATGGGGCTTTGTTGTTTTAAGTCTGAAGATAACTGTATCACTGCCCCACAATTCTAAGAATACTGAATGTCCCTGTGCAGCTCTAACCGTGAGCTCATCAAAAATTATTGTGCAATTGTCTTTAATTCTGTAACTCAAGAGGTGCTGCAATTTGGTCCCATATGTTGTTTTCTCTGGCCCTTGTTTTTCTACTGCTCTTTTGGGACTGTGGTCAAAAGAAATATCTCTTCTTGCCCTACACTGATGCACAAGGGTGCGGGAAGAGCAGATAACACCAAACTTTGTCAATGTCTGTACAAGTCCTATCGTTGCTCCCAATTTCTGTGCTGGTGCTGCTACTGTGTGCAGTATGTGGGGCTGGGATGGGGTTTTCTGTGGTAGAAGAGACTCTGCAGGAAAAGTGTGAGAACTTGGACACTTCACAGAACTTAGACGGTCATGGTTTCTACCAGGATGCTGATGTGATTATCGGTGCTCTCATTAATGTACATAACCTGGCTGCGACCCCTGACCTGAGCTTCACCAGAAAAGCTGAATTAGCGCCATGCTTAGAGTAAGTGATACGCCCTTTTCCATTCTCTTTCCTATCTCTCTCCACACCTGTCAAGTACATGGAGTCTGTGTATTGATGTGTTTGGTGGAATAATATTTTATAAATTGTAACAGTCACAGCTTGTTACATGATTTAATGTATTTCATTTTTAGTGCTTTGTTCATCTTGACCACTAGGGGACACCAATAGCATATCCTCATTTGTGAATAAAAGAGGAAGTAATAGAATGAGTGGTAGATTCCATTTGAGTTGCATCATGGCATCTGCTGTTCTCAAGAGAGTCCTGGGCTGTGTCCGAAATCGCCCCCTATACCCTCATTCACTATTCCCTACATTAGGTCACTAATTCAGTTCGCTAGAAGGAGTGAATGAAAACGAGTAGTGAATTCGGACACTGAGTGCACCGGAAGGAATGCCGCTTTTGCATAGTTTGTGCTTGCTGTTTATTAATCATTTGAAACTAGCAAACTAGCAGCTCCAGTAGTAAGATTAAAGGATTTATCTTGAACTCTGTCACGGAAATTATGTATAAACTCTAATCAAACAATTTAATAATCAATTTACAATGAATTTATACCCGTGTTGTACATTATGCTGTACACCATGGATGAGCGCTTCGTAAAAATGAAACGGATTGATTATTCAACTGCGGGCGCCATCTTCTGGCGAGATGCGGGAATTCATTCGATGCGTGACTCTCACGGTGCATTATGGGCATTCTCTAGCCGTTGAGTGTGCACCAGTTGTACACTCGTTTTTGCAGTGCATTGTGGGATTGAATGAGTGCACTCGAGAACGTCCACTATGGTTTCGGACACCACAAAAAATGGCTGTTCCCTCAAATAGTGCCCTATTTAAGGGTATAGGGGGCGATTTCAGACACAGCCCAGGTTTGAGGAACATTGGTTTTGCTGCTCAACCGTGAGTTTGTTGCTTTATTTTTCATCTTTTGCTTTTGTGTAAAACTTGTGAGGTTTATTGTTTGGGGAAAGTCACTTATTTGAATGTTTTGTGGGTTGTATTTGTTTGGTGAGTTTGTTTGAAAGTTAATGAGTTGTTTTCTTTTGTAGAGGACTTTATGTATCCTACCAACTTATGGTACTTTGTGGAGTGCAGAACTATGGATCTTGGGTGCAGTTTTGCAACCGCCTAAGGATTTTTTCAAAGGGTTTCTGACCCTCTCTTCCATTTCGTCATGTCATCAGTTTACCCTTCAACAGATAAGACTTTATAACACTGACTGCTCTCCTTTACCAAATGTTTTTTTTTTTAGCATCTTTGTTGGACATTTCATACACACACATTCCTACCTTTTATTTGGCCATTGCCTTTATCTATTTTGAATGTTTTATGGTTTTTTAATGTTTATGCGATGGCAGTTTGTGTGTTTTGTATTTGTGTAGAAACTTAATATATGTTGGGAAAAGTGTTTTGTTATGGGGTTTTTTTTGCGTGTATTTAGACCAGCCTCTGAACACTATCCCTTAGATTCTTGCAAAACTGATTCCCCCTCATGCTCATATAACAATACCAGTTTGAATAGCTGGAACGGTTATAAAATGTAAAATCATTCTCTGACATTTTCCCTGCAGATGTAGGATTTTTGACATTTTATTTTTATTTTATTTGGGTTAATGTACATTATACCAGTCAAAAGTTTTTGAACAATAATATTTTTTATGTTTTTAAAGAATTCTCTTCTGCTCACTAAGCCTGCGTTTATTTGATCCAAAATACAGCAAAAGCAGTAATATTGTGAAATATTTTTGCTATTTAAAATAACTGCTTTCTATTTGAATATATTTTAAAGTGTAATTTGTTCCTGTGATTTCAAAGCTGATTTTTTCAGCATCATTACTCCAGTCTTCAGTGTCACACGATCCTTCAGACATCATTCTAATATTCTGATTTGCTGCCCCCCCCCCCAAAAAAAACATTTATTATTATTGTTGAAAACAGCTGACTAGAATTTTTTCAGATTTCTTTGAAGAAAAGAAAGTTCAGAAGAACAGCATTTATCTGAAATATAAATCTTTTGTAACATCATAAATGTCTTTATGATCACTTTTGATCAATTTAAAGCATCCTTGCTAAATAAAAGTATTAATTTATATAATTAAAAAAATAATACTGACTCCAAGCTTTTGAATGGTATAGTATATAATGTTTTCAAAAGCTTTTTTATTTCAGATAAATGCTGATCTTTGGATCTTTCTATTCACCAAAGAATCCTTAAAAAAATACTCAACTGTTTTAAGTATTATTATTATTAATAATAATAATGTTTTTTAACAGCAAATCAGAATATTAGAATTATTTCTGAAGGATCATGTGACACTGAAGAATGGAGTAATGATGCTGAAAAAAATCAGCTTTGAAATCACAGGAATAAATTACATTTTAAAATATATTCAAATAGAAAGCAGTTATTTTAAATAGTAAAAACATTTCACAATATTTCAGATTTTGCGGTATTTAGAATCAAATAAATGGAGGCTTAGTGAGCAGAAGAGAATTCTTTAAAAAACATTTAAAAAAATACTGTTCAAAAACTTTTGACTGGTAGTGTATTATAGCAGTAGCTTATGTCTAAGGTTAACAGGATTGTTAATGAATATTCTGTAACTCAGAACTTGTAACTCTGTAACATGTACAGATATATTTAAACACAATGTACTCATGTTTATTGGTTTATTGGTGTGGTTGCAGAATTATGTTTTAAACTTTTTTTTATTGTTTTGTTTATTATTATTATTATTATTATTATGTATTTCACATGAACTAACATTTGTAAAATCAAACCCTGCATCTCTTAAAGGGGTCATATGATGCGATTTCAAGTTTTCCTTTCTCTTTGGAGTGTTACAAGCTGATTGTGCATAGATAAGATCCCTGAAGTTGCAAAGACTAAAGTCTCAAAACCAAAGAGATATTCTTTATCAAAGTTAAGACTCTGCCACGCCCCCCTAAAACGGCTCATTCTAACACGCCCCCACATATCTACCCCACTATGTGGAAATATTTGCATAATCCCGCCGCAAATGTGCACGCAAAGAAAGAAGGCATGGTGTCAGTAACCG